TGATTCTTAACATTTTCTGAATCCAAAATCTACTTTAAAACTCTGATGGTTCTTTCCCTAGAAATATGTGCAAAGGCACAGCTAAGCATTTGTGTACAGCTGTCTGAAAGCCCACTCCCATCTCAAGTAACTGTCCTTTTGGTTGGCTAAAAGCTCACATTCCCAAAATACTTGTTGTGAGCGGTCTTCCTTCCTCAGTTTATATATTATGCAATGTGATATTTTCTTTCTTGAAATTGAAAACCTGAAGGATTATGACACTTCCTCACCTACAATTTAATGCAAACTGGAGATTTTCTAATCCAGCTCATGTCCTGGCTCACTAATCTGCTGTTTCAACAAAAGGGAGAATACACTATCTTAGTCTTAATCTGCCAAAGACACTCGCTGGAGAGCAGGGAATGAATGCCAGGCCAGTTCTGGGCTCAAGGCCGTTGGGATGCATCATTTCATGTACCATTGAACATGGACTGCAATCTTCCCAAGTGCTAGCACTTTATGCTGCCTTACCACTTCCTTTCATCTCTGCTACTCAAAATACTGCTGACACTGGAAGGCCCATTCCTTCTCTGGAGGTGGTGTTCAGAAGTCACCTGCAGAGTCAATTTCTCTTCATCATGCTTTGTTTGTAGCATACTTTAGAGTGATTATGAAATCTCCCATTTTAAGGCATTTGAGTGTAGTCTTCATGTCTTCCTCCTTAGACTAGGAGAACCGCAGGAGGGGACTAGGTTCTTTGCATACAGTTGTTGTTAAGTGCCATCCAGTTGGTTCTGACTCTTGGTGATCCTGTATAGGGTTTCTGAGAAGCGGCTGGTGAGCTTGAACGCTGACCTTGTGGTTCAAACCAACCTTGCAGTCCAGTGCATTAACTCGCAGTGCCATGCCGGGAGTCCATACAGTAGGTGATCAAAATGAGCTTTAGATGCAGTTTGTATAGTGCTTAGGTCCTTTGGCGCTGGAGACAAACAATGTGCATTCTAATCTCAGCTCTGCCATTAACTTTTCATTTTCAGGAAAGTCACTTAAATTACCCAAGTATCAATTTTCCTTCCTCTAGAAAATGATAATGATAATGATAATGATGCCCATCTCACTTGTCTATTGTGAAGATTAAATAATATTGCACACAAAAAGCACTTAGCACTGTGTTTGGATCAAAGGAAGTGTTGACTCCCTGGTGGCACCCACAGTTCATACACGTGGCTGGTAACCAAATGTGGGTAGTTTGAGTCTCTCCAGAGGTACTACAGAACAAATTCCTGGTAATCTACTTCTGAAATTTCAGCCATTGAAAGCCCTATGGAACATAGCTCTATTCTAACACATATGGATTTCTGTGAGTCAAAGTAAATACCACAGCAAAAGGCTTAAGTGCTGAACAAAAATTTGGTATATCATTTGTTGAACTGAATTTTACAAGAAATCTTTAACACTGGTGTTTCTTCCTATAGTTAATAAAGAATGGTAGATGGCCAACTATAAAGACGTTCTAAATATTTTTGACCAGAATTGAAATAAATTTCATATAATTTTCAAGCCCTGTAATAATTTTTACTTTCAATATCTCAAGTTCTTATCTGACAGAAATTTCTTCTTTTATTATGCTCTAGAGTCCTGCTGCGGCGCTGTGGGTTAATGCGTTAGACTGCAAAGTTGGTTTGAACAGCAAGATTGGCAGTTCAAGTTCACCAGCTGCTCCTCAGAAACCCTATAAAGGGTTGCTATGGGTTGTAACTGACTTGATGGCACTTAACAACAAGAAGGACAGCTCTAGGACATGGGAAGTCTCCTTATGATACTGTGTGCTATGGGTATGCCTTAGCTCTCTCCTTCACATTTAAGACAAGAATTGCTATCCTTTAGAAGATTCTAAGATCGGCTGAGCAGAGAGGACTGATGAAGATAGTATCTTGAATGTGGTTTGTGACCTATAGGTCCCAAGTTCTACCTAGTCATTAGCTCTTTCTTATCAGGGATCAGGTCAGATGTTTCAAATAGAGAAGTTCACTACTAGAAAACAACAGCTCACTTTATTGTAGCAACACCTCTGGATACAAAGAATAGCACAGGTGTTTACTCTTCACACACATCCACACCCTTATATATGAGGGGGCTTAACAACTTGTGGAAAACCCCATTGTCTTTTAATTTCATTTCCCCATGAACTTTTTAAAACCCCCTTGTGTATGTATGTACATTAAAAAAAATTGTACCTCCATATGTATATTTATATCTGATTTTGAGCATCTGCCTTTGAACTTTGAACAAGTGTTCGAGGGCAGACATTGTGTCATTCGTAGGTCCTAAATATATAAGACAATATACTACACAGAAAATATTGTAAAATTTACTTGAATTAGAACATTTTAAATAAGTAGAATAAAAGAAAAATTGTTAAACATTATCCATCCTTCAAAAGTTTGAGTAAAGAAATCCTCCCCCTGCCTTTGTGTTTTAGAAAATCTTCAGCATGTGAACAAGGTAGACATGGTATCTTTTGAGTGTCAACTTTTGTTTATTAGCAGTGAGTCCTAGTGTGGCACTTTGGGTTAACGTGCTGGACTGCACAATCATTTGAACCGTAAGGTTGGTGGTTCAAGCTCACCAGTCACTCCTAGGAAACTCTATACAGGGTCGCTATGGGTCGGTACTGACTTGACGGCACTTAACTATAACACTTAATTCTTCACTATTAATTAAAGTCTACACTTAATTTCTCTCTTTTTAAAAGAATATTTACTTTTGTTGTTGTTGTTAAGTGCTGTCGAGTCAGTTCTGACCCATAGCGATCCTGTATAGGGTTTCTGAGGAGCGGCTGGTGAGCTTGAATTGACGACCTTGCAGTTCAAATTGGCTTTGCAGTCCAGTGCATTAACCCACAATGTCACACCAGGACTCCTTTACTTTAGCATCTGGTATATTTCTCTCTGATTTCCTGTATGAATGAGAATTCATGACCACCATTTATTTGCTGTTGTTATGGACATGGAGTTGGTTCCAACTCAGAGCGACCCTCAGAGTTTCTGAGACTGTATTTCTCTGTAGGAGGAGAAAGCTTCATTTGTCTTCTGAGGAGTGGCTGGTGAATTAAAACCACTGTTTCTGTAACTAACAGTCCAACTAGTCACCCACTTGACAAAGTATAGTTTTATGACCCTCACCTTAATCTACAAATCAGTTTTATGTTAAATGTCATTGATATGATCTCTTAAATGATGAGAAATTAGAATTGTGTAAGCACATACATAGGAATGAATTAAGTAGCCAAGCTTGTTGATTGATTTCCTTTGTCTACTAGAACATTGGGAAAACTCAGAATTGACTGGCACAGAAAGTGTAACTGGAGATTCTCAGGGTGATCATTTTTTTCCTCCCTGGTCAAATGACCATGATTTTCTCAGCAGTGACTTTAGTTTTTTAGATGGCTTAGAAAATTTAAGTTTAGCATTATTTTTCTCTGTTTAAAGTTTATTTCCGTATCACCAGGTTTTCTTTGTTCTGTCATGCTGTCCCTTTGACATGGCCATATTGACCCTAGGTCCAGGTGCTGGCTAACAGCCCAGGGAGCTGGTACTGAAACACATGCCAGGTGGACACGTAAGCATTGGAATGCTAGTTCTTACCTGTGCCAAAAAAGCTAATCACCTGCATGGATAAAGTCTATTCTCAATGTTCCAACTGTACTTTATTGGAAATGGATGTCTCCTCAAATTGCAAAACTCTGTAGAATGTAATTGTTTTGTGATGATCCAACAGGATTTTTTTTTTAAAGTACCAATTTCTTTGAAAGAGCTACTAAAATTGTTATTAGTGATGGACTTGTATGAAACGAAGGTGCCCTGGTGGTGCAGTGGATAAGTGGTTCACTGTTAACTGAAAGAATGACAATTTGAACCCACCAGTTGCTCTATAGGAGCCCAGTATAGACTGTTCACCTGAAGGATGACAGTTCAAACCCACCAGGCACTCTGTGGGAGAATGAAGGGGCATTCTGCTCCTTCAAAGATTGTTGTTCTTGTTAAGTGCTGTTGAATCAACTCCAACCCATTAGCAACTCTGTATAGGGTTTCTGAGGAGCAGCTGGTGAGCTTGAAGTGCCAACTTTGCAGCTCAAATGGCTTTGCAGTCTGGTGCATTAACCCACAGCACCACACCAGAACTTCAAAGATTAACAGCCTTGAGAACCCTATACAGGGTTGCTGTAAGTTGGAATCCACTTGATGGTAGTGAGTTTGAGCCCCTCTATGGGATAAAGCTATTGCAGTCTGCTTCGGTACTATTTAGAGCTTTGGAGGCTCTGTGGGGGCAGTTTTACTCTGCCCTATGGGGTTACTGTGAGTTGACTCAACTGGAATGAACTCAACAGCAGTGGGTTTAGGTTTGGTTTTGTATTAAATGCTTTTGCTAATGACAACTGAAGGTTTTCAAAGAACCACATTGAAACTTCTGGGAATCATTCATTTCTGAGATAGGGTTTAATATTGGAAACTGCTTTGTAGGTCAGACTTCTTCAAGCCAACCTACTCATGCTGTTGAAGTATTGTAAATAACAAAGTATACCTATTTTTGATAACATAAGTCAGACTCAAAGGCCAATTCAGATTAGAAATGGCCCCAAAGACATGTCTACATTAAGATTGCAACTGGGAAATAGCTATACAAACCCTGCAAGGGATGACTTTGACTGGTCATTATAGACAAGATAGGATCCATGGAGGACCAGATAGCCTCAGGCCATGAAAGAGTAGGGTCAGGGATCCTGTTTGGTTTAGGACAATTATAAGTCTACTTTGGAGAAAGCTGAATTCTTCGTGTATCCCTGTAAACCAACCTGATCTCCCTTGGTGGGGGCTAATCCTGGATCTATTTCAGATCTAAACTCTTTGGATGGGGTTGAATCTGAAAGAAGCTCAACCCCAAGGGCAAGATTCAGGCTCAAGCACTAGGACCAAGGTAATTTTCTACATTCTGTCCGGTTTTGTGTTGGGCTTTCTTACCTGATAAAGGTTGGCAAGGTGGTGGTTAGTTTTGATCAAAAATGGCTGGTTTACTCCAGGGTGGTCAACATCATGGGCTGCTGCAGCCAATAGTCCAAGCATGATGTCCAGAGGTGTGAGGAAGCTGGCGAGCTGTTAAAAAGTCAGAATGAGAGATTGATTGTTGTGGATCCATAGATAGATGATTAGCATGTGTGTTAGCTAAATCAGAGCACACAAATCTTCATGGCATGGTTCATGCCCACCAGCCCGACTTTTACCCTTTAAGACATTCGAGAAGGTGATCAACAGAATAAATAAGAAGTAGAAAGTATAGTCAATTCAAGTGATATAGGTCATTTAGGTGTCTTCTTCCTACTGCCATTCTGCTTTGTTTTGTGGTTGTAATGGCACTGCCTATTGGCTGCGTTACTGTATCATGGCCAGAGAGAAGGCAGAGTCTGAAATCAGTCTTGTTCTCAAAGAAAGCTACAAATAAAGTGGATAGTTGAAACCAAAGTAATGGACTTATTAGTTCTAGCTCATAGCAATGTATAGGACAGGGTAGAACTGCCCCATAGGGAATCTAAGGCATTGGGTTTCTTGACAGAAGCAGACTGCCACATCTTTCTCTTGTGGAGCAACTGGTGGGTTCAAATCATCAACTTTTTGGTTAGCAACCTAGCATTTTAACTAGTGTCACCAAGGATTCTTAAGTGATGGACAAATTGATAAAAAATATATATATATATGACTTCCACATCTTTAAATAGGCAATCAGACTGGACCAAAATGCAAACTCTGCCCATTTCTTTCATGTGTAATCAATAGTGGGGAGATACGTGAGAATCTTTGATGTTTTTGGTTAGTTAGGAAAACAAGCAGGGAAAGAGAAATCCAGCACTAATTTAAAAACATGACTGTGTGATATATGACAATGTTCAGACAACTTAGAGATGAAAAAACACCACTGAGACATTTTACAGAGATAAAACATCTACCCAGCTCTGTCCCGAGAATACCTGTCTAACATCTGTGTATTCAGTGGTTGATGTTAGAATTGATTGAACTAAATAGTCTTGGATGAGAAATATTATTTTTTAAAAAAAATCAAAATAAAATTTGCCCTGAATGTTAGACCAATCAAATTTCATACAGTTATGAACTGCCCCGATTTTGAGCAAGAAGCATTTATGATACTTTCAATGGTTAATGTTGGGTTGGTTTGGCTCATCATAGTGTGCCTGCTTCAAGGTCTTTGATGTTTACAATTTTCCTGGGTCCTGGGTCAGGATATCTGATTGGCCCAGTAGTAAATGGAGCTTGAGTTTTGGTTTCATTTGATCAAAATATTATGAACTGGGAGATTTTTTCCAATAAGATTCAGTGCTAGTGTCATTTGTGGCAAAGGTCTAAGGCAACATGACTAATTCTTGGAATTGTTGAAGATATCTAAGATGTAGATTGTCACAGAGAGAGTTGTTTTTGAAAATATGAAAGAAACCCTCAGGAGATCCACAGTCTCTTTGGTGATTATTATGAAATATTTAGAGCTGACACTGGAACTTTAATATAAATGACTTGCATTCATATTATAACTGACCCATCATAATGCTACTCTGATAGGATGGGTGATCTGGGAGCTCACTAGGTAGTTTTCTTGGCATTTCCAGAAGGCAGGTGGACCTTCTTTTACCTTTGGTTCCTTCAGATAGCAGTGCATGGCCTGGGTGACATCAGCCGCATGAACAGCATTGTGATATGGATTTTGGCTGTGGTAATCTTCTTGAACCATAACTAGGAGGAAGACAGATAAGTCAATCAACAAACACCAAAAAATGAAGGCCTTACTAGATCAGACTTACTGAGGATGACTTTTGCTGAAAAATATCACTGCCTCCCAAGTATGTAACCTGCTGCAGCTGCTATGTGCCGTAGAGTTGGGTCTTACTCATAGCGACCCTGTATAGGCTTTCCAAGCTGTAAATCTTAATGGCAGCAAAACGGTCTCATCTTTCTCCTACGGAGTGGCTGGTGGGCTCAAACTACCCACCGTATGGTTCTCAGTCCAGTGCTCATTCTATGGAGCCACTGCACTCCCCAAAACATGTAGCCTAGAGACCCTTTAAAAAGGAATGAGACTGGAAGGCTTGACAGTACAACTGGTCTGTATTTAGTGGAGAGGAGGAGAAGAGCAGTGTCAGAGCAGACGAAAGACCAAAACAATTTGTGAGGCCTGGGGGATTCCTCATCCCCCTCATAAGTCACCCCTTTTGACATTCATGAAGGCACACATTCAGAGGGAAAATAAATACGTGGGAAAAGGAGAACTTTATTTCACACTATAGGCTAATTATTTAAGTTTGCTCTCATTTATGAATGATATGCCATACTTTACAAAAGATTTCCTTTCAGAGGGTCCTAGTAGCATCAGATTCCTGCTATTCAAAGACTGGTTTAACTAATCATTGGTTTGATTAGTACTGGATGAACTAATAGAAGCTGGGGCTTCCTCAGGCAGGAATTGATCCAGCTGAGGAGTCTGGGCATTGATTCTACCATATTCAGGTTTTCACCTTTCATTCACTTTCATGTACCATTGCAAGGCAGCAAGTATTCTCGGAACCAAGCAGAGACACAGTAAAGGGTGCTTTGGTTTGCTATTCACAGCATTGCCTAGTAATGAAGACAACACTTAGATTGCAATGTAGTCAGTGGGTTTAGAATGTCCAGATTTGATTGGGCCAGATTTGCTCAACCCATGCAATACAGTTGGCTCTGGATTCTGCTGTTTGCCATATTAATGTATCTGCTTCTCCCTCTTTAACAATTGCTGTTCAGTTGACCCTGACTCTTGGCCACCCTGATTCATGGTGACCGTATGTGCACCAGCGTAGAACTTTGCGCCACAGGATTTTCAGTGGCTGATATTTTAGAAGTAGATTACCAGGCCTTGCTTCCAACGTGTGTCTGTGTGGACTTGAACCTCTAACCTTTCCATTAGCAACTGAGTGCTAATGGTAACCCTTTGTACCACTCCTCTCTCTTTTTAGACAAATTAAAATTAGACCCATTTGTGACCACCACTCTGCTCAATCTGCTTGAGGTGATTTGTGCTTCTGGAAACAAGTCGTGTTGTGGTTAATTTAAAATATTTCTTTTGGGCCTCATATCCCTTTTATTCAGCAAGCTTATCCTGCAATTACCTTTACTGCATCAATCGATATGATTATGTGGTTCTTTTCTTTTTTCTTATATGGTGCAATTATCTTTAAATGCTGGCTTTATTACTTATCTGCATTGAGTACGCTACTAACTGCAAGTATCCTTCCTGTAAAATGGGGATAATAATACTTTGAAACTCACAGTTGCTGTAACATCCACTGTGCAAATATATGTAAATCCTTAGAGGAGTTCCCAGCACCATATAAGCCTGGTTGTTGTTATCTTCATCACAGTTATTTTTCTCATGGTGGCTTTAAGTGAGCTCCCAAATTCAAAACACAGCCATTTGGCAAAGTAAAGAAGCCAAAAATATGCTAAGTGGTAGAGGGAAACCATTTGGTATTTAGAAATCTGCTCTGGATTCTTCCCTGGCAGATGAATAAGGATGTACACAAAGTCAAATAAGAATTGATGTTGTCATTAGATAAAGGGGGATGGTGGAGCAGAGTGGGAAGATGGTGGGCTTTCAATTCAGGTAGATCTGAGATATAATTAGTTCTTTGTCAGTTAGTAGTTGTATGATCTTGGGCATGTTACAAAACCTCTTTGTACCTTTCCTTAACTGTGGGCCAAATGGTGATTAAATGCCCAACTTGAAGAGTTGTTGAAACAGTTTGAAACAAATTAAAGAAACACACTATTATTTAAAATAAGTTTTTTTGAAGATTTTCAATAACTCATGTTTGAATGAGAATAATTTGAA